AGCGCCTCAGAGGCCGTCGCAGCGCGCGGTACCCCCCAGGCTGACGAAATCTGGCCCCTCGCCATGACAAGTTGCCCCACAGTTCTTCAATGCTGACGCCACCTGTCCAGCGCCTCAGAGGCCGTCACAGCGCGCGGTACCCCCCCAGGAGTCCAATGCAGCACAACCTTTCGACACCAGCCTCAGCCCGTGCTGCCGATGGATCTTTTTTCAGCAAATTGGGCTCGCGGCTCCGTGGGGACTGCACCCACGACCGGAAGCCTGCCTTCTCGCACTCGTCAACTGCTTTCTGGGTTGCATGGGCAATACAATCCACGTACGGCTCGCCCACTCCCCCCGCTGAGGCTGCTCTTCTCGGTGGCGAAGCAAGTATCTTTCGAAGCAGTTTCCGTAACTCGGCGTGGAGCTGAGTTTCTCTCGCCCCCATATAAAACAGCAGAAGGAAGACCACGAAGTCAGAAACGCGAAGCCAGAAGCACACATACATGAATTGTCCCGTCATCCCAACACAACCTGTCCGAACGAGCTGTAGATGACAGAACGTTCAACTTCCAGCGCCGATGCGCGATGATAGCAACTTCCTTTGAACGCCTGCCTCCTCCTGACCCCACGAACGCATGCCCTTGCTCTGACTCTAACTGCTCCTCAGCAAAATACCTACAAGCTTCTCTCAGCAACACCATGGCCAATGTTCCGAACTGAGAAAACTCGACACATATGCCCTGCGCTCGTTCTTCTGATTGATTGAACATCTTCACACAGCACAACCCCCGTCTCCAACTCCTCTCTCTGGAGAGCGCGCGCGTTTCATCGCACAATCATGGCTGATGTCGTAAGGCTGAGGCTATGCTTACGGGCAGGCCGCCGCCTACATTGCAATATTTCCCTCTCCCACCCCCACTGCTCCGCACAAAATGCGAAATGTCTATTGGATTTGCGTGGGCCCTTTTGGATGCCAATTGTTTCCTTCTCCGGGTACTCCTCGGCCATGGCTGTCACTTGCCGTCACGACTCCGGCTGCTCTTCCAATCGTCCATGTAATCCTCGGACGCGCGCTGTACCGATAAGCTCCCGTCCTTGTACTTCATGGTCTCCCCCTCCTGTATCCATGGAAGAGGAGGAAGAGAGGAGGAGGGGGAGGAGAAGGGGGAGAATTAAAGAAGCCACTGACCTCAAAGCTTTTGCCGCGTGTCGGTGCCAGCGCGGTGCCCACACCGCCCTCTGGTGGGCGCCCGCGCGTTCGAGATCGAACCGACTTTGTCGAGGCCCAGCGATGGTTACTTGTGCCTCTCCTTCTTCCCAGAGCATCTAATCTCCTCTCGACATCTCCGATACTGAAACGAGCAAGGGTGCGCATACAGTCGGACCTAGGACAGAAGAACATCCCTCAATAAAATGAAACCCTCTGTCGGCCAAAACAAACAGAACATCCAAGGGTACCCTCCGCAGGATGCACAAGAACATCCAACAAACACGAAGAACATCAGGGCACACACCAAGAACCGATCTCGATCTTACACCTCAACCTGCAGCGACGAAATGAAAACAAAAAATGGAAATTTGGTCTGCAGCTCGTGCTCGTCGCATACACGTCAGCCTCAAAGGCCTAGGCTTAACATCAACACACGATATTAGTTTCAAGAAAGACCTTGGTGATAAGGATCGCCGTGGCAACTGTACCAAAAAGTAAATGGTGGAATGAACACACCTGCGCCAGAGTTCATACCTGGTACGTACGTGATACCAGATGCAAGAACGTACCATTCACTATGACAGCTTCCTCTCCCACTGCGGCTACCTTACACTCCGAATGATGCTCCTTCGGATCCGCCTCCGTCGCGTACACCCCACGCGTCGACCCATGTGGCACAGTGGATACATCGGGCCCGACTCCGGGCGTCCCTGCCGACATGGTCGATGATCAGATTCCAGATATACCACACAATGAAATAGTCCCATTTTTTCATGCGACCGTACACCCTGCGAAATGCTTAAGAAATCATGGGTTAAGAAATTCATAGTCTCAGAAATTGAATGTAACCCAGAACTTCTATCAAAATCTTGGGATTTACATTGAAAAATTAAGAATAATCGAGACTCTGGACGAAAACGTAGGTTTTCTTAAGCATCGCATAAGGTGTACGCTTTCAACCGCATTGCCGCGAACGGCACGACCCGGGCAGCCCGAGCCTGCCAAGCGGCCACACGGCAAGCCGGGGGTGGGGGTCGCCGCGGATTCCCGCCCGACGTGAGCGACACGACCGCAAAGGCCACAACAGGTCATGTCGGCACAGGTGCTTCTGACCAAGACGGCAGGGCTTCAAAGTGCTCATCTGCTGGCAGGCCAGGTGAGTCCGACGCGGTCGCAGAACACACATTGCTGCAGCAAGGCCCCTCTCCACACGGTCCACACAAGTCCAGCGCTAAGGTTCGACTCATGTGTCGTCACAACCAAAAAACTGACCTCAGTGGCGTGGAAGGTGTTCTTGGCGCGGACGGAGAAGACGCAAGATTGCAGATCATCTACGGTAACAAAACCATATCTGTCAAGACTGATAACATTGAATTGATTGGTCGCTCAAATCAAGTATTGCATCCGGCATGTATGCAAACAGCTGTACGTTTCGACTATCACAACGAACATGTCACATCACGCGGTTTTGAACTTGTCTGGCGACACGCTAAAAATGGTGGAGGCATCGAGGAATCAGTTCTAACCGTTTTGGACAATGGATCATATTTCGACACAACTAACCTAGCGGTTGTGACACACATGGCAGCACCTTGTACGATGCTATATATGATGCCGTGGTGTTCGGACGCCGTTAATAGTAACCTTGATGCTTCCCTTTAAGTGCGCCTCGAGTTCTGGATTCTGGAAGGCGCGTGGCACCGATACATTCAAACTTGTAGAAGGATGTGGAGGCACGGATCCTGGGATTGCGGGGGAGGCAAGCCGCAGTGTCCAGTGATGACCCTCGGTGAGGGCATCCACGCTGCAAGCATTACCGAGGCCGCAGTCTCAGGCGGAAGAAGGGAGAGAAGGCGAATGTGCGAGGCTTAGGACATGAGGAGCTGCGCGCACACGCGGCAAACCAATGCGACAAGCTACGGATATCATCCCGTGTCTGCTGAGCTGCCAGTTACCGTAATCCTGCCTTCTTCCTTGTGAGTGCGCCTTGGATTCTGGAAGGCGCGTGCCACCGATGCATCCAAACTTGCAGAAGGACGTGGAGGCTCTGATCTTACGAGCGGAGAATGTAGGAGAGGAGGCGAACCGCAGCGTCCAGCGATGACCCTTGGTGGGGGCATATACGCCGCAGGCATCACCGAGGCCATAAGTTTCCAAGCGGTGGCCCCCGGTGAGGGCATCCCAGGAGGATGGGAAGAGGAGGTGCGCAGGATAAAAGGCAGAACAGGCGAGACTTCAGGGTCGGCGGCGAGCGAGAGGGGAAGCGAGAAGGAGAAGGCTTTCTCAGAGGGCGGCGGCGGGACTTCTCGGAAGCCCGCGCGCCTTCCGAGAGGTTTTTTTCTGTCCTCGGGGAAGGCTTCGAAAACTTGTCAGAAGGCCGGGGGACTTCCGAACCTTCTGAGAAGAAGGCCTTCTCCTTCTCCCTTCCCCCCCGCGCTCGCCGCCGTTAGGGGGTGAGGAGCTGCACGCATACGTGGCACACTGGTTCGACCAGCTCCGGGTATCGTTCCGTGTTTGCTGGGCCGCCAGTAGTACAAATCCATACTCTTTCCCTATGAGTGCGCCATGCATTCTGGAAGGCGTGTGCCACCGATATGTTCAAGCCCGTAGAAGGATGTGGAGGTATGGATCCTAGGATTTTGGAGGTGGAGGCACATTTGCATCTTCTGCTGGCTGCCAGGGTTCACATTCAAAGCTCATCTCTAGCGTTGGCCGTCCCCGGGTGGACACTAACATACCGAGCGTGTCAACCGTTACGAGTGCCTTGACGGCAACCGCCCTCGGCGAACGCAGCCAGGTTGAGGAGGAATCATTCACATCAGTCATGCTTGGCGACACCTATCAACGAGCAGCTAGCGCATGTATATCTCTGCATCTCAATCGCACTTTAGGGGCATCAGGCCAGAAACAGTTTCAGTAAGATGTGCGCCAGCATTTTGACTGTTTACCGGCTGCCCTCCGAGAGAGCACGAACTGCCCTCGATGAGTGCCCTTGCCACGGGAGGGATCAGGGGGATGTGGAATTGATGCTGGGGAGAGTTTGGAGGTGAATGCCTTGCTGACGCCTGCAGATATAATACTCGATGCCCTCCCGGGCTCTCCACTTTTCAGTGCCTCCTCGCACCTCCTGCTCCGCTTAGTCTGCATTCAGATGCCGCGCTGCCGCACACAATAGGTACAGGCTTAGATGGAGGAGGAGGAGGAGGAGGAGGAGGAGGAGGGAGGAATCGGAAGGGAAGGAAGAGGCGGAGGAGGGGGAGGGGGAGGGGGAGGGAATATTAGGGAGAAAGGGGGAGGTGTTCGAACAGTCCGAAACTCGCTGTTCACTGCCAATATAGATGTTCATAGCCCATTCTGCAGTCTGAGGCCACCAGTATGTGCGAGGGCATTCGGCGGTGCCTGAGCACCGCTGGTGCAAGCTGTGTGGTGCAAGCTGTGGTTCCAAGCTAGAGGCGGCAACGAAGCGGCAACGGGCGACAACGTGGCGAAACCTCGCCAGACCCACCTGGCGCAAGAGGCGGCAACGAGGCGGACACGGGCGGCAACGTGGCGAATCCTCGCAAAACCCAACCAACTCCTCAGGGAGACAAACAAGAACCCCCCAAGTGCGATCGCTGCCTTTCTGTGCAGACGCGAGGTGGCTGCACGGAACGCGAGCAAGCACCACGCAATAGCTCACCGTGTGCAAGATGCAAATCACGCTCTGAGAATCAAGCAGGCACTGCCTGCGAAGTATATACACGTGCGGCCAGGACTCTGCTCGAGCCGACGGCAAGGGCGCGCCGCGCGCGCGGGCGGCGCCCCCGACCTGCTGGCGTTCCTCCTGCAGGGCCAGGCCGACCTCGAGCCGCATACGGGCGGACTCCTCGGCGGCCGCGCCCGCGCAGCAGCGCTGCAGCTCCAGCTCCTCTCGCCGCGGGCGCGCTCCCTCGAGGGGGGGGGGGCCGCCAGCGCGGGGCCTCCGCCGCGCGAGGAAGCGCAGCGAGGCCCATCTCGCCACAGACTTGACCGCGTCTGGCGTGGCCCGGCGGGCCCCATGGTGGTCCGGGGGCTGGGTGCATCCGATGCGAAAGCCAGGCTTCCAACGCCCCCGCCCTGGTCGGTTGGCGCAGGGTCCTCGTTGCTTCCTGCGCCCAGCCGTGGGCATCCTGGGTTTTGTCCCCCAAATGTCGCCCCAGACTTCCCGAGACGTCCGCAGGCTGCGGAGGGCCCCCCCCCGACCTCCCCCTGGGACTCGGACGAGGACAAGATGCCGATGCATCTGCCCTTCCTTTTCAACCGCGGCTGGACTCGCTTCAAAATCCTTGTCAAAATGCCCCCCTAAGGAGAAGTCAGTAGAGTAGCGGCATGGGTACGCCCGAAAGCTTTTTGCTGAGCGTGTCGCGGCGACAGCCCCGGCGAGGCACAGACTGGCTCCAAATGTTGATGGTCAATCAATATTATTACTATTACGACACCGACTACGACTACGCCTACGACTACTACTACTACTACTACTACTACTACTACTACTACTACTACTACTACTACTACTACTACTACTACTACTACTACCTATACGACTACGACTACAACTACGAGTACGACTACGACTACTACTGGTACTACTACTACGACTACGACTACTACTACTACTACTACTACTACTACTACTACTACTACTACTACTACTACTACTACTACTACTACTACTACTACTACTACTACTATCACTAGAACCGCATGCGGGCGCAGCCACTGGGGCCTTCGGTGGAGCTCCCTATGGGGCCACGAAACGTGTGAGGGGTGTGCCAGAATGGGGGGTGGAACCGCATGCGGGCGCAGCCACTGGGGCCTTCGGTGGAGCTCCCTATGGGGCCACGAAACGTGTGAGGGGTGTGCCAGAATGGGGGGGGGAACCGCATGCGGGCGCAGCCACTGGGGCCTTCGGTGGAGCTCCCTATGGGGCCACGAAACGTGTGAGGGGTGTGCCAGAATGGGGGGTGGAACCGCATGCGGGCGCAGCCACTGGGGCCTTCGGTGGAGCTCCCTATGGGGCCACGAAACGTGTGAGGGGTGTGCCAGAACGGGGGGTGGAACCGCATGCGGGCGCAGCCACTGGGGCCTTCGGTGGAGCTCCCTATGGGGCCACGAAACGTGTGAGGGGTGTGCCAGAATGGGGGGTGGAACCGCATGCGGGCGCAGCCACTGGGGCCTTCGGTGGAGCTCCCTATGGGGCCACGAAACGTGTGAGGGGTGTGCCAGAATGAGGGGTGGAACCGCATGCGGGCGCAGCCACTGGGGCCTTCGGTGGAGCTCCCTATGGGGCCACGAAACGTGTGAGGGGTGTGCCAGAATGGGTGTGGGAGGGGGAGGAGGGGGGAGGAGGAAGGAAGGAGGAACGCGGGGACCGTCTCTTCAAAACGAAGACCCAACAACACAGGCTGGTTGGGAAAAAATATGACCTGCTCTACACAGTTGCATTAAGTACCAAGAGAAGTACTTGACCCAAAATTGCCAGCAGAACGACCGTGCAGGCGCCGTTATATGTTGTGCAAGCTACATGGGATGCGCTCACGCGGCACGATTCACAGGACAACAACAGAAGGAAGAGGAGCGAGGGCCCAGGCTTGAGAAGGACATGGGGGGCAGGAACGAAGGGCAGGAGAAGGACGCGTGGGGGGGGACACGTCAGCGCGGCAGCAGCAGAGGGAAGGTGGCAGGGAGCAGAGGACGACGATGAAAGTGACGGGAGGAGACCGAAGATCGTTGCCTTTTTGCCGGTAGTACGCTAAAGATGCAGCGCTGCCTGCGCCATGTCTTCGCGGCGCTCGGCAAAATGATGCAACCTGCTTATAGTTAGTGCGGGAAGCGAGCGAGGCCTAGCTCGCCCGCAAGCTTCCCTGCTTCCTCCCTGCACTTTCCAGTGCGGGGGCCAAACGCTCGAAGGCGCGCCGCCAATTCTGCGGGCGGCCTGCGAAAGCGCCCCGCTGGACCCCCAAGCAGCCCTCGAAAATGACAACCCTTTCGCAGATCGCAGCCCCCCAGGGATGGCGAGGTCTAATCTGAGTCTGGGTGGTGCCTCACTCCGCTGAAACCCCCCAGCAGCCCTTCGAAAGTGGCGATAGTTTCGCAGATCGCAGCCTCTCAGGGAAGGCGAGGTCTAATCTGAGCCTGGGTGGCGCCTCACTCCGCTGAAACCCCCCAGCAGCCCTTCGAAAGTGGCGATAGTTTCGCAGATCGCAGCCTCTCAGGGAAGGCGAGGTCTAATCTGAGCCTGGGTGGCGCCTCACTCCGCTGGACCCCTAGCAGCCCTCGAAAGTGGTGACGGTTTCGCAGATCGCAGCCCCCCAGGGATGGCGAGGTCTGAATGAGTCTAGGTGGTGCCTCCCTCCGCTGAACCCCAAGCAGCCCTCGAAAGTGGCAACAGTTTCGCAGATCGCAGCCCCCAGGGATGGCGAGGCCTAATCTGACTCTGGGTGGTGCCTCACTCCGCTGAACCCCCCCGCAGCCCTCGAAAGTGGCGAGGTAACGGCAGGAGGAAAGAGGAGAGGAGGAAGGAGGCGGAAAGGAAGGAAGGAAGGAAGGAAGGAAGGAAGGAAGGAAGGAAGGAAGGAAGGAAGGAAGGAAGGAAGGAGGTGTGCGACCGCACTGCTCTATTCAAGACGAGTGCCCAACGCAGGAGGGCTGGGGAATAGCCCAACAGTAATCCAAAAATCCTCAAAACAGCACGACACCTCGTCCCCTCACTATTTGTTGACTCTTCTTGCATACTCCTCCTGCAAAAAGACATGCCCGACTTAGAGAGCAGGAACCCCCAAGGCCAAGCACCCCCTGGGGAATAGTCCAAAAGTAATCCAAAAATAATCAAAATAACACGACACCTCGTCCCCTCACTATTCTTGACTCTTCTTGCGTACTCCTCCTGCAGAGAGACATGCCCGATTTAAAGAGTACGGCAGGTTCGTGTCGTGCCGACCCCAGCGTTGGTTTTTGACACCGCAGGGATCGTTCAACCTTGAACGATCGGCCGCTGCCGCAACGTCCGATCGTTCAACATCGATCGATTCTGGGTCGCCGGCGGCGTTCGACGTTGAACGTCCGCGCTGGGGTCGCCGCTGGCCGACACGACGCAAACCTACCGTAGGAACCCCCAAGGCCAAGCACCCCCCTGGGGAACCAGGCGGCGGAGCCCCTGGCGGGTCCTCCAGCAGCAGCCTCTTGCGCAGGTCTGCGCCGCCCGCGCCGGCGGTCGCGCCCCGCTCCTGCAGCGCGGCCGCGGAGGGGGGGGGGCTCCTCCTCCCTTGGCCTCGTCCTCCTCCTCCCCCTCCTCCTCCTCCTCCTCCTCCTCCTCCTCCTCCTCCTCCTCCTCCTCCTCCTCCCCCTCCTCCTCCTCCTCCCCCTCCTCCTCCTCCCGCCGGCCGCGGTCGACCCCCCCCTCGCTGCCCCGGCTCGGCGGGAGCGCGGCTGCTTCCGCGAGCGCTCCGGCCACGGCAGCACCTCGGGGGCTCCCGGGGCCGGGTGGCGACGGACCGCGCGGGGACCTCGAGACCCAGAGAGGCCTCACCGCGCGGTCCGTCACCGCACGGTTTCGGGAGGCCCCTGGAGGCCCCCGTCGTCCGAGGCATCCTCGAGGACGGCCCAGGTCCCACAAACCGCGCGGCGACCCCGACTCCCCGCCGGCTCACCACACGGGGCCCCCGACGGCAAGCAGCCCGAGGCTGCACGCGCGCACACACACACACACATGACACACACACACACACACACGACACACACACACACACACACACACACACAAACAAACAAACAAACAAACAAACAAACAAACAAACAAACAAACAAACAAACAAACAAAGAAAGAAACAAACAAACAAACAAACAAACAAACAAACAAACAAACAAACACACACGACACACGCCGCGAGAGCTGTGGCCACGGCAGCAGCAGCCCCAGGCGGCACACCTACGCGCCGGGATGGTCCAGAGGCACAACGAAGAACATTGCGCGTCTGCTCGACTGCACGCGCACACGCTGGCTTGCGCGGGCACGTGCCAAGCGCTCGCACGCGCGCAAACGCTCATGCGATCGCCAGTGTGTGCACGCACGGATGCACAAACCCGCGCACGTGAGCACGTGCGAAATTGAAGCAATCAGCCATGCTCGGGTTTCTTTTCCGAGGAAGGTTCGTTCCACCCTTCCCCTGGCCACTTCGGGCACCCTCCCTCAAGCGCACACCAGCCAGAGCAAAACCGAGCCGTGCCGCCGTAGAGTCAAGTCGAAGCCCGCTCCTTCTGCACCCCCTTCCGGGCAGAAGCGGGGTCTTGGGGGGAGGGGGGTCCAAGGGAGAAGGGGTCCCAAGATCATGCCTCAACTCATCCACTTTGCGCAGAAAGCGCCGAAGTGGATTGATGCTGCGAGGCTGGAATATATAGATATCCACCGCCTGAGGGATCAAAATCCCAAATGGCCCAGAAGGCAATGGGTATGGATCTATTCGGGCCCCCTCGGCGCCCGAGACTATCCGTATCCTCTGCATCCTGGGGATCTGGGACATTGGTTCCCCAGGTAATGCATGTGTGCAGTTCCGGCCTCGGACAGGTGGAAAGGGTGAAACGCGCTACGCCACAAGAATCTATTTACGGACGCCCGACGGTGAATTTCTCCTGCGTCTTCAGAAAGGGTGGCGGTGTATACCTACAACGGGGGGGTCATGAACAGTCCACTGTGCGGGGTCTGCGTGTGTTCTTGTGGCGAGCCCGCGGCCAGCCGCTCCCGCGCGTCCTCTGCCGCACCCCAGCGCTCCACGTAGTCCCGTTGCCTGACGCACGGGTGCCGCGGCAGCGCCAAGGGCGCAAAGACAGCGGAGGTTCGTGGCGGTCGCGCGGAGCCGACAGCGGGAGCGATCCAGCAGAAGGAGGGGGGCACGAGCAGATAGGGCACTGGCTGGCGGTGGGGCGGCCACCTCCTCGTCCTCGTCCTCTGTCTCCTCCTCTTCCTTCTCCTGCTGCTCCTCTCTCTCTCTCTCTCTCTTTCTCTCTGCCGTTCTCCCTACCCATCCTCCACCCTCCTCCATTCCTTTTCCCCATAAACAACTTCTCCCTGTCGCACTACGAGGCCAGTTTTTAAAGCGGTCGGGGCGTTGCGCCTGAGAGTTCCCCACTGTTTATGACTTTGAAACTTAAGAATAACACCAGTTTCACAGATGGAGTGGAGGGCGGGTCGTTTTCAAAATGTGGCTCTCGCCCAAGCACCGCGCACATTTTCCAAGAGCTGCAAGAGCTTCACGGACTGAGGGCGGGTCGTTTTCAAAATGTGGTTCTCGCCTTAGCGCCGCGCACATTCGTTCTGAGCATTTGCAAGAGCTTCACGGATTGAGAGCGGTCCCTTTTCACAATGTGGCTCTCGCCTTAGCACCGCGCACGCTCGTTCCAAACATGCGCAAGAGCTTCACGGATTGAGAGCGGTCCCTGTTCAAAATGCGGTTCTCGCCTTGGCGCCGCGCACACTCGTTCTAAACAAAATGCAAGAGCTTCACGGAATCCCATGAACCGTGTACAATTATTGGTGTTTTGGACGGATTCAGGACTACGACGGCGCAACAGTTACGTTGACTCGCGGTGTTGAAGTCCCATGAAAGGCGTTCTGGCACGATTCAGGATCGTCAAGACGCAACAGTCAGGTTGATCCGTGGCGTTGGAATCCCGAGAACGATGCTTTGGCATGCGTCAGGGTCTTCAAACGGTTGTCTTCCAACGAGGCAGTTCCGCCAGTGCAAATAGGGCCTTATGAAGAGGGAACTTGGAGCGAGAGTTGACTGCAACATCGTTGATGACTCTTGGGTTTACACTGGTCTTCCTCCTCCTCCTCCTCCTCCTCCTCCTCCTCCTACTCCTCCTCCTCCTCCTCCTCTTCCTCCTCCTCCTCCTCCTCCTCCTCATCTCCCTCCTCCTCCTACTCATCATCATCATCATCAGCATCATCATGAACATCACCATCATTGTCACCAGCATCATCGTCATCACCATCATCGTCATCATCATCATAACCGTCATCTTCATCATCAATAGCATCAACAACACCAGTATCATCATCATCCTCCGCATCCTCCTCCACGTCATCATTTGCGTGACCACCATCACCACCATCGTAATTGCCGTCATCATCATCCTCATCATCATCGACAGCAGAATCATCATCACCGTCATCAGCATCATCACCAGCATCATCAGCATCATCTGCAACACCAGCATCATCATCATGATCATCAGCAGCAGCATCATCACCTTCACCATCATCAGAAAAAGTAATCATCAGCATCATCGCCAGCATCACCAGCATCATCGCCATCATCATCATCAGCATCACGATCACCGTCATCATCAACAACATCATAATGGTCATCATCATCAGCAGCATCATCAGTAGCAGTAACATCCTCTCGATTCCCCTCTGGGACGTCTTCGTCTGTCGACGAAACGGGGAGTGGCACGCTGCCGCTGCTGCTGCCGCTATGTTCCGATGTGTCGTTGTGCGTGGCAGGATCCACCAACGGCGCGGGGGGAACTGCTCACTATTGGGAGGCCAGTGCCAGGATGGGGGTAGCGCCCATGCCCTGCTGCGGGAGTGCCCTGCGCAGTAGGGGGAGGAGGAGAGGAGGAGGCGCAGCCGATAGCCGCAAGATCTGGTAAATTGAAGGAGGAGAGGGAAGGGTCGGCGGCGTGCGCTTGCAGGGGGGAGGTCGAGTCACCTGGGTCGTGGTCGTGGTCGCCTTCGGAGCCGTCGTGGTCGCGGTCGTCGTCGAGCAGCATAGTCAGCAGCAGCACCATCAGCATCACCACCATCATCCGCAGCACCATCATCATCATCATCATCATCATCATCATCATCATCATCATCAGCAGCATCAGCATCACAATCGTCATCTTCATCACCATCGCAAACGCAACCGTCATCTGTAGTATAATCAACATCACCGCCATCATCATCAGCATCATCATCATCAGCAGCAGCATCATCATGATCCGCCTAATCACCCTGATCAGTATCATCATCAGCATTATCATAAACAACCTAATCGTCATATTCATCACCTTCGTAAACACAACTATGGTCGATACCCTAATTATCATCACCGCCATCATCATCGTCATCATCAGCCTCATCATCCTAAGCAGCATCATCGGCATCATCATCATCATCATCATCATCATCACCATCATCGTTAGCATCATCATCGTTAAATCGTCATCAGCAGCAAAGTCATCATCATCACCATCGCCACCTCCGTCACCATCGCCATCACCATCACCATGAGCACCATCGTCATCATCATCACCACCAATATCATCATCATCATCATCATCATCATCATCATCATCATCATCCTCATCCTCATCCTCATCCTCATCATCATCATCATCATCATCATCATCGTCATCGTCATCGTCATCATCATCATCATCATCATCATCATCATCATCATCCTCATCCTCATCCTCATCCTCATCCTCATCTCATCATCATCATCATCATCCATCCTCATCATCATCATCATCATCATCCATCATCATCATCATCATCATCATCATCATCATCATCATCATCATCATCATCATCATCATCATCATCATCATCATCATCATCATCATCATCATCATCATCATCGTCACGATCAGGAACCGAGGGGCGACAGGGCGGGAAGACTGCTCGACACACGCAGCTAGAGCTAGCACTCCGAACGGCTGATATTCTACGTTCAGAGATTCCGTCGCCACCAAGCTCGGCAGACCAAGCTCGGCGACCGCTCGGGGTGTGCCATTGTCGGAACAGAGTCGCAGCACACCACACTGCTGGCCGTGGGAAGCGGCAGGCCCCGCGGCAGCGCGGGGTTCAGTGTCAATGAAGCATCGGCCCTCGGCAAGACATCCGACGCTGCACTGCTCACAGTGCTAGACAGCGGGTATCCTGGCGATTGCGTGCCATCGGCGCGCACTCTGAGAATGTTAACGTGCAACTCGCCGTCGGATACGGAGCAAACCAGCAGCCGAAAGCCCAAGGAGGTCACATAATCGTTGAAAACGCATTGCTCCAGCCCGCCGCGCCGCTCCTCGCAGTGGCGGGGCTTCCCAGCCGTCGAGCAGGCGCTCAGTCGACCGCTGCCGGGTGACCTTCCGCTGCCACCTGGCAAAGTGATCCTAAGCGCAGGGCCTACCAAATAGACCCACAAGACCGACAGAACACCGCCGAACGTGGGTGCAGCGAGTGGACTCGTCTAGTGGGCTCGTCTGGACCGCCCGCCGCGAGCGCGCGCCTTTCAACGCACGCGCGCCTGCCCCCATGGCGCGCGCGGCCAGCCCAAGCAGTCGCGGGCGCTCGCCCTGGACGGCGCTTACCTTGGAGCACTTCTGGCGGGGCCCCCCGAACATGCAGGCTGAGAGCCCTCCCCCTCCTCCATAGTTGCATAACACGAATATTACTATCCTCTCTCCCATGACTCTGTCCGGAGAGTGCCCCGTCCTCTCCGCGTGCTGTTTTTTACACACAAGATTTCATCATTTGGTTTTCCTGTGTTTTTCCTATCCGGTCGTCTCTGGTTCTTCCAAAACGGTGCTCCCGCTGCAGCGTCGCCCTCATTTCCACGCTTCGGTCATTCAAAATCGTGATCCCGCTGCAGCGTCCGCCATTCCCGACGACACTTGGCATTCGAAAGCGCCCATCGGGCAGGCAAGATTGCGGAGGACATGGAGCCAGCATTCCGGACAGGCCCTGTCCTTTCGTAAACGGGCCACTTACCCTCCAAGTCATCCAGTGCCATGCCACGGTATGCAATGCGATGCTGTGTTGTGCACTGCTATGTGATGCCATGCATTGCGCTGCTATGCATTGTGACGCAATGCTTCACTACGCAATGCCATGCAATGCTATGAAATGCTATACTCTGCAGTGGTCTTCTACGCCATGTTTTGTCATCCATCGCGTACCCTCTTGGGATCATTGCCCTGCTCGATCGACATCCGACTGTGCGAATATATGAAAGATCTGCGGCATGATACGGGATGGGAGGGAGGGGTAGGACGTCAGATGTGACGCTAGCGCACGTAGCTTGTCCCCCCCCCCCTCCGCCTCCGCCTCCTCCTCGTCCTCCTCCCCCTCCCCCTCCTCCTCCCCTCCTCCTCCTCCTCCTCTCCTCCTCCTCCTCCCCTCCTCCTCCTCCTCCTCCTCCTCCTCCTCCCCTCCTCCCCCTCCCTCCCTCCTCCCTCCCTCCCTCCCTCCCTCCCTCCCTCCCTCCTCCTCCCCCTCCCCCTCCCCCTCGGGCCGGGGCCCGCCGACCGCCCAGAGACCCGCCGGGCCCCCCCCCCCCTGCCCATCGAACCTCCGACGCGGGCCGGCGCGAGACACTGTGCCAGAGCCGCGCAGCCCCGCTGCGTCTGCCACATATGATGGGCCTGTTTTCCACCACCACCACCATGAGTTGGAGGGGGAGGGGGTCCTCCTCCTCCTCCTCCTCCTCCTCCTCCTCCTCCTCCTCCTCCTCCCCTCCTCCTCCTCCTCCTCCTCCCTCCTCCTCCTCCTCCTCCTCCTCCTCTCCTCCTCCTCCTCCTCCTCCTCCTCCTCCTCCTCCTCCTCCTCCTCCTCCTCCTCCTCCTCCTCCTCCTCCTCCTCATCCCCCCCTCCAACTTATGGTGGTGGTGGTGGAAAACAGGCCAGTCAACATACACCCCCTGCTTAGGGTTCGGACAGTGTCTCTCTAAGGAAATGGCCTTTTCTTACGCAGCAGTCCAGATCCAAAATGCGGCACTCTCTACGGAAAAGAGGCTC